CACTCGTCCATATATATAGGACACTAGCTGGTTGTGTCTCATTTGGCACTCGTCCATATATATAGGTCACTAGCTAGTGGTGTCTCATAAGGCACTCGTCCATATCTTTAGGACACTAGCTGGTGGTGTCTCATTAGGTACTCGTCCATATCTATAGGACACTAGCTGGTGGTGTCTCACGAGGCACTCGTCCATATCTATAGGACACCAGCTGGTGGTGTCTCACTAGCCACTCGTCCGTATTTATAGGACACTAGCTTGTGATGTCTCATTAGGCACTCGTCCATATATATACAGGTCACATGCTGATGGTGTCTCACGAGGCACTCATCCATATCTATAGAACACTAGTTGGTGGTGTCTCACTAGACACTCGTCCATGTCTATAGAACACTAGCTGGTGGTGTCTCACTAGACACTCGTCCATATCTATAGGACACTAGCTGGTGGTGTCTCACGAGGCACTCGTCCATATGTATAGGACACTAGCTGGTGGTGTCTCACTAGGAACTCGTCAATATATATAGGTCACCGGCTGATGGTGTCTCACTAGGCACTCGTCCATATCTATAGGACACTAGCTGGTGGTGTCTCACGAGGCACTCGTCCATATGTATAGGACACTAGCTGGTGGTGTCTCACTAGGAACTCGTCAATATATATAGGTCACCGGCTGATGGTGTCTCACTAGGCACTCGTCCATATCTATAGGACACTAGCTGGTGGTGTCTCACGAGGCACTCGTCCATATCTATAGGACACTAGCTGGTGGTGTCTCACGAGGCACTCGTCCATATCTATAGGACACTAGCTGGTGGTGTCTCACGAGGCACTCGTCCATATCTATAGGACACTAGCTGGTGGTGTCTCACGAGGCACTCGTCCATATCTATAGGACACTAGCTGTTGGAATCTCACTAGGAACTCGTCCATATATATAGGTCACTAGCTAGTGGTGTCTGATTAGACACTCGTTTATATCTTTAAGACACTAGCTGGTGGTGTCTCATTAGGTACTCGTCCATATCTATAGAACACTAGCTGGTGGTGTCTCACTAGGCACTCGTCCATATCTATAGGACACCAGCTGGTGGTGTCTCACGAGGCACTCGTCCATATCTATAGGTTACCAGTTGGTGGTGTCTCACTAGACACTCGTCAATATATAAAGGACACTAGCTGGTGATGTCGCACTAGACACTCGTCAATATATACAGATCACCGGCTGATGGTGTCTCACGAGGCACTCGTCCATATCTATAGGTCACCAGCTGGTGGTGTCTCACGAGGCACTAGTCCATATCTATAGGACACAAGCTGGTGGGGTCTCACTAGTCACTCGTCCATATCTATAGGCACTAGACACTCGTCCATATCTATAGGACACCAGCTCATGGTGTCTCACTAGTCACTCGTCCATATATATTGGACACAAGCTGGTGGTGTCTCACTAGACACTCGTCCATATCTATAGGTCACCAGCTCATGGTGTCTCACTAGGCACTCGTCCATATCTATAGGACACTAGCTGGTGGTGTCTCACTAGACACTCGTCCATATCTATAGGTCACCAGCTCATGGTGTCTCACTAGTCACTCGTCCATATCTATAGGACACAAGCTGGTGGTGTCTCACTAGTCACTCGTCCATATATATTGGACACTAGGTGGTGGTGTCTCACGAGGCACTCGTCCATATCTATAGGACACTAGCTGGTGGTGTCTCACTAGACACTCATCCATATCTATAGGACACAAGCTTGTGGTGTCTCATTAGGCACTCGTTCATATCTATAGGTCACCAGCTGGTGGTGTCTCACGAGGCATTTGTCCATATCTATAGGACACCAGCTCATGGTGTCTCACTAGTCACTCGTCCATATATATTGGACACAAGCTGGTGGTGTCTCACTAGACACTCGTCCATATCTATAGGTCACCAGGTGGTGGTGTCTCACTAGACACTCCTCCATATCTATAGGTCACCAGCTTGTGGTGTCTCATTAGGCACTCGTTCATATCTATAGGACACTAGGTGGTGGTGTCTCACTAGACACTCGTCCATATCTATAGGTCACCAGCTGGTGGTGTCTCACTAGACACTCATCCATATCTATAGGTCACCAGCTTGTGGTGTCTCACGAGGCACTTGTCCATATCTATAGGACACCAGCTCATGGTGTCTCACTAGTCACTCGTCCATATCTATAGGACACAAGCTGGTGGTGTCTCACGAGGCACTTGTCCATATCTATAGGACACCAGCTCATGGTGTCTCACTAGTCACTCGTCCATATATATTGGACACTAGGTGGTGGTGTCTCACGAGGCACTCGTCAATATCTATAGGACACTAACTGGTGGTGTCTCACAAGACACTCGTCAATATATATAGGACACTACCTGGTGGTGTCTCACTAGACACTCGTCCATATCTATAGGACACTAGCTGGTGGTGTATCATAAGGCACTCGTCCGTATCTATAGGACACTAGCTGGTGGTGTCTCACTAGGCACTCGTCCGTATTTATAGGACACTAGCTGCTGAGAAAACATAAAACCCCGAATAAATAAAAGATGGACTAGGTTGAAGCCAAGCTCTTAAACAAAACCAGAGCGGATAATCCGAAACAAACAAGTAAAACACATTATACAAATCCGACACAAACCGATGTATCGGAAGGATAAGTATTTCTAACACCACATGTGAACCCATCAAAGTATCTCTTGCCAAATTCAAACAAATACGTAGATTACAATGACCTAACTCTTTGGGAATAGTTTTAATCATGGAAATCACGACAAGCTAACAATGCATGCACAGCTTGAGCGCTATGTATTGAATATATGTAGGTGATTTGCATTTTGGAAATGCACCGTGTATTTATAACATGTGTAAACTGTTTCAAATATTAATTGCTTCGATTTTCTTTCCCAACCAGTTTCCATCTACCCAGGATCGGTAGAACGGCCTCGGTGTGGAACGTGTAGGTAGAATTCATTATTGGTGTACACAACCTTAGAAGGACCTATGCTTGTTTTGTATAAATATTTAATTTGGCGGAATTCATTACTGGAGGAGATTTCTGCCAACACGCTTCTGATCAAATACAGTTATTTTGAAAAACACAGACTCGTATTCTGCACGAATCCGTTTCTTAACCGGAAATAGATTGTTGTTTGGCCTCGAGATGATTGTTGGGACTTGTAATCATTATTTAGACTAAATCGTTTTTCTGTGGTGATGATGATGAGCGGAAACGGTCCGCATTACTTCCTTATATGGTATGTAGCAGGGCAAAGTGTCTACTAGACTCTGTAGCAATGTTCTCCCCGTGGAGAGTACACTACTCTATAAAGCATGCTAATAGTAGAAGAGGCAGTGGGGTCGATTGCATAATTGTAGAACATGAGATTAATGGGTCCCATCTGGTCTATCACAATCAATCAGTACTGGAGAGAACGGGGTCTAGAAAACACAAACATACATCAAACACCCCTTTGTATTCTGTCTGAGTGGTTCATTGACAAGAGTATGTAATGATACATCATGAGTGAAATATTTTCAAAGCCGGGCTAGCAAATATTCTTTTTGAAACATCGGCAAGTATGCGATAATGATGTGGGATGATATGTGCTAATGCAATTAATGGTGATCATTTTATAAACCAGGGCATGCTTTATAGAAAAACAACATTTTTAATATATAACTGATTCTCGTTTCATGTAAAGTGTCATAAGTAAATGAGGTTTTCCCCCTCCGTCATACTAAACTTCAGTACATATGGATAAGATACATTTCATTTAAAGTCAATGAGAATGTACAATGAATAACGTAACACCTGCAGAGATTTTCACCAACATAGATATTGTATAGATGTTCCAAACTAAGTGATATGCTTGATCTTGTTTGCAGGCACTGTACGAAATCTTACCAAGTTAAATCCTGTTTCAAGAATTTCTGAGTAACAGTATACAGTTGATCGATATAACTTTAAATACATAAGGATAAGCTTTTTTTCCAGAAATGAACCAATCTACGCCGAGATTAAAAAAACGACGGCCATCGTGATGGCCTGATTTTAAACTTGAAATTTCAGCATTTACCAGGGTAAAGACTTGTACCTCCTAACCGAGATCGTTTGGAAATGCAACATAATTTCAGGTTTGACGTTGACTTTGTTGACGGGCGAAAGACTTTTTCGCATGTTATTTTGCTGCGGTCAATGATGTCTTACTATTCTCTATTCAGTTCCCGTGGTTGTCTCTTTATTTTGACTTTGCTCTATAATATTATGCTGTAAATTATGTAATTCTAGCAAACACGAATATTTTGATTTGTTAACATATTCACAAGGATTTAAATTGATCATTAGGACAATGCCTTTCCGTGTACCTTGTTTAATTGCGACGCTAAAATACATTATTATCTCGCAAAATATAACCGCATCGCATTTCAATATATATTGTTGCATCTCTTTTCCATGAAGGTCCATGTAAGGTTTAAAGTGTTGTTTTAATCTTTCCTGCCACTGCTTGTCCGCCCGGTGCATGTATATGTTACGATGGCACATCATCAGAATAGAACAACCGTACCCCACTGCTTGTCGTAAGGGGAGACTTATGTGACCTCCCACCCTCACCAGAACGGGAGGTTTCTTTGGTGCTTTTTACCTAGAGGACATCGCTGATAGCAATACTTGTAATTTGTACTTTCCTACCCGTTCCTTTCGTTAGAGCCTTCCTAGGCACCCGTCTTCACATAGCAAAAGTTTCTGAGAGGACGTTGAACCCTAAACAAAAACTGTTCGCCTTCACTTTTTATTGTTTATGTGAGTTGTTGTTGGTCTGTTGTATTTCGATTTCACTAACCTTCAAAGAGATAGGCTTGTGTACAATGCGTCATCGCTGTTCCTCTGTGGAACAGCTTGATATTCTAGATGGATAACAACAGTTTTATTGACATTTCAATATTGCATTCGTTTTAATTTTATATTACAGGAAGCCAATCCATTGTTTTACCGTGAAAGTGACGTATCGCCGATTTCGTGAGAGTGACAGGAAGCCGGAAAAGGGATAGTTTATCCCGGAAGAGGTGTGTCCTTTATGCTTGAGAGGTATGATCATCATTAGTGACATGGCAAAAGAAAGGCGAATGTGTCTAATTAAGTGAAGAGGCGTGGTTCACACCACACGACCAGGAACAGATGAACGATGACTGATGGAATCCGTGGGAGACTCTAATCTATAATCCGCGTGTCAATAGCACGCGCTCTAGAGCCATACGTGTACTGCCGATTTGTACAAGGTGCTAGGGAAATCAGAACTACTTTCAGAGAGCCAGATAGCAGGAGACTCTAATCGTGTCACGAACAGAATCGGAGACGATCGTGGAAGTGACAGTGCTCATATATCTCAGCAGGCACGGAAAGCCAAATACTCTCTGTCGTCTGCTCTTTTGGATTTCAAATAGAATGCGCTCTACTTAATCACAAAGCCGATCTTATTTTGTCTTCTTGTGACAAGACACAATCCATTACTGACTTCATTTAATTGTTTCCTAGTGTTACATCAGTCCTTGCAATCGGAAAATAATCTGAAAATATTTTGTATTTTAAGACAAAAATCAATCGCTGATCTTCAGCTCATTTTGACAAGTATTCAAAAGGACAAGTATTTCATCCTTTTAGCTTTTAAACATTTTTTTCTGATTAAAAAATTATCCCCAACATTTGCAGCCTTTTGTTAATGAATTTTCTTTTCGAATTAGATTTGAAATTCATAGAGCTTTCACACAAATTATTTTTTCATGATTAAAGTATTGACGTTTTCATTCATGAAATAATTAAAATCCATTATCTTCATTTGCAGACTTCTGGATCTCGAGGCTTTTAGAGTGATTTACGACAAAAATATTATCAGGCGGTGCCGACTTCGTGTGTGGATTGCTGACGCCCTGGAAACAGCACGCAGAGCCATTTCTGGGAGTAGCTTGCTTCGCAATCCGGATTCCGGAACTTGGGAAATATAGCGAAGTGTAACATTGGTAAATTGTTCTTGCTAACCTGCTTGGTTATATATTGGGATACCATTTTCAATTCGAAATTATTTCCTTATCAGGAAAAACATTCAAACATGAATCATGGAGTAAGAAATTAAGGAGGACTATTTTTGCAATACCGACCTGCATGATTTTTAATAGATCAGAGAGTGATTTACAAAACATGTGCTGTTAAAGACATAACGCAACAGTACGAAATAAGACTCCTTACTGGAATATTACATTTGTGGATTTATTTATCAACCGATATTGTAAAAAAAAAGTGATATTAGAACGCTGTTTACATAAAAAAGGAAGATAGATAATGAAAAAGGATATGATTTAATGAAAAGTTCTACCAATTCTGGGAAATATAACCAGTTCGTCTGCATCCGTGTTTGTACATCGAGATAAGCCATATAACAGTGGAAGGTTATATGTAGTGACACGGTCGTAGCAACACTCCTGAGATAAGTGTAAAGGGGTTTTCATTACAGTCCGGTCCATCCCGACGGATTACCATTAATGACGACGAGGACCAGCAGTGCTGTGTACACAGGTTTAAAACTCCTCTGATTGGATTCCAGATGTGGCTAGGATATATTTCTGTGTCCTTCTGAAAAACAAGAAGCCAGTGTTTATAGTCCGACAAAGAGCAATGCCAGTGGATTTTGTGGTAGTACAATTGTCATAAAATAAACTCTGATTAAACTTGAAGAATTAGAAAAAACGGTGACGTAAGCTACTGAGTAGTTAGGATTAGGTCAGTGGTACTGTCTGTGAATTAGGTCAGTGGTACTGTCTGTAAATTAGGTCAGTGGTACTGTCTGTGAATTAGGACGGTGGTACTGTCTGTGAATTAGGACGGTGGTACTGTCTGTGAATTAGGACGGTGGTACTGTCTGTGAATTAGGACGGTGGTACTGTCTGTGAATTAGGACGGTGGTACTGTCTGTGAATTAGGACGGTGGTACTGTCTGTGAATTAGGACGGTGGTACTGTCTGTGAATTAGGACGGTGGTACTGTCTGTGAATTAGGACGGTGGTACTGTCTGTGAATTAGGACGGTGGTACTGTCTGTGAATTAGGACGGTGGTACTGTCTGTGAATTAGGACGGTGGTACTGTCTGTGAATTAGGACGGTGGTACTGTCTGTGAATTAGGACGGTGGTACTGTCTGTGAATTAGGACGGTGGTACTGTCTGTGAATTAGGACGGTGGTACTGTCTGTGAATTAGGACGGTGGTACTGTCTGTGAATTAGGACGGTGGTACTGTCTGTGAATTAGGACGGTGGTACTGTCTGTGAATTACAACGGTGGTACTGTCTATGAATTAGGACGGTGGTACTGTCTGTGAATTAGGACGGTGGTACTGTCTGTGAATTCCACTGACATCAAAGTTGTGCCGATCAACGTTATCATTTTCACGTTAATTCTCCGGATACGAGGAACTTAGCTTATTGATAATTAAAGTGACGTTACGTTATCAATATTCTAGTTATTGATATGCGCTAATAATAGCCGTGTTAACTTAGGTTATCCAACGTAATTACAAAAACACATCAATTCTGATTGTTATCATACTCGTCTGTAGAGCGGACTATTGATTAACACGATTGATACCGATCAGCGCCAATAGAGGGCGCTGTAATTTTGAAATCCGGTCATCGGATAAACCACCTGCTTACAATTAAAGTGACACAATAACTCGTTAAATAAGTAACATGACGCCTATCGGTATGTATTAGCTACCAGCAGGTTCGTGTGAAAGGTTAAACTATCCCTGTGCCCACGAACACATGCCTGTCAAGCAATCAACTGTCTTCTGTGTTAACTGTTACAGACAGTTAATCTGTGTAGTTCAGTCTTCTGTCTGGAGTATCTAGCTCACTGGCCATAAAAGGGCAGCAGCATATATAAACTGCAACAAACCAATTTTGTGGCCTGTTCGTGCGGAATCCGTTCGTGTAAAACCTGCATCATTCACTTGAGTTGTATTGTTGTTTAGAGCGAACGTACCTTGTCAGATTCGTAATCACTCCCCTCTCCTGTACTGTCAATAGACGAACTCTATGATATCTGTACATTTATAGGTGGTGGGATTAACACAAATATTTCAGACAGATCAGCATTTTAGTGTGATTTGAAGTGAAGTAGCTGTCAGTGTCGACTCCCATTAGATTGTACTAGAAAGAGGACTGTCAAACTCCGAGGTCAACAGCGCCACCTGGTGTCAAGATGGCGGAACCAGCACAAGAGAACTCTTACATCCTACAGAAAAGTCAGGTAAGATTATGTTTCTTTATGAAATACATTTTTATAAAAGATAATCATGTATGGTTGTCTTACTTGCGGTAATTTTCAGCTTGATTTTTATCCAAATGAGTATTGTTAATCTGATTTGAAATAAACACGAAGCAACGATAGGAGCCATTGAACACACTGTCAGACATCTACAGGAAAACCCTCGTTATACTGCCAGAACAATTCTTGCGAGGGGTTTGAGTTATTAAGGGGTCCGACGCCTATTGAAGGACATGTACTCTTTTGTACAAAGAAATTGTTAAGAAACAAACTAAAGGGGCCTTTGACGGGCGATAAGCACGGTGTCAGGAGATAGGAGAGGTTTTACATAGGTTGTGACTGTTGTATTTTTTGTAATGTTAAAATGTTGCCTTCGTGTTGACTATGATGACATCCTTTCCTTTTCCGTGGCTAGATATATGGTGACGTCATGTTATATATCATCACTAATGGTGGAAGACGTCGACGATATCACTGATGATTAATTAAACAGATGACGTCACAGTGTTCAGCTGGGCATCTCAAAGTATTAAAGAACATAAAGTGGAAATGCCATGTATGTATTCTATAAATAAGAAAACATTTCACTTCATGTACGCGCTGGTTTTTGAACAGGTATAAAGGACTGAAATTCGTTCTGAATTGACATTACTGGTTTGGGTTAATACAACAACGTATCGACCTCATTGGAAGTCCACAGCAGGTGAACATACTCGTATTACCGATATACATTCGTGTGCATCACTTTAGTTGTTATAGAACAATCTTTAGAATGGTTACACAGCTTACACCGAAAAGTTATATCAGTATTTTGGAATATATTTGCTTTTTTATATAAAACCCTCATATTGCGACAGTAATGCTGTCAGCATAATCACATTTTTATAGAACACACATGTTAACGTCCTCGCAACAGAAAGAAGCAAATACAAAGGATGAATAGGAAGACACCATGAAAAGGGAAGAGTAGGAAATAGAGAAAAGAATAGATATAGATCCCAGTGTAGTCATGGGGACAGCATGTCATGTTGGGTTCACCAAGGTCTCCTAAGTAATGGCCAGGCAGTCAGCCTCCGATTCTCTAGGCCCGCCCACATTGGTCGACTCTTACAACACACAGTGGAACACAACAGGTACATTCTATCTCCAAACCTGTTTCACGGCAATCGTTACAAAACAATATTTAGAATGGTAACAAAGCTTACATTGAAGGCGTTGTTTTACATTATATTATACCTTTAACTATAAGCTACATACTAAGCGCATTACAATTTTTGCATATTTTGAATATGCACAAATTTCATCGGCAATCAGTAACATAAATCAGTATTTGGACATACAAGTACATAAATCACAATGTAAGACGAGCAAAGACATACATGTACATAAATCACAATGTAAGACGAGCAAAGACATACATGTACATAAATCACAATGTAAGACGAGCAAAGACATACATGTACATAAATCACAATGTAAGACGAGCAAAGACATACATGTACATAAATCACAATGTAAGACGAGCAAAGACATACATGTACATAAATCACAATGTAAGACGAGCAAAGACATACATGTACATAAATCACAATGTAAGACGAGCAAAGACATACATGTACATAAATCACAATGTAAGACGATTAGCCCTTTAATATAATGACGTACCAGGACACACTAGTAGGACACGGGTTTGTGCCTTTGACCAATGCTGGTCGTATTAAGGTCTGTTAAACGGTCATATGTTGTAACAGTGGATGTTGTACAACTTGAGCTTAAAATAGAACTAACATATAGAATTGAAAGGTACTACCGACGGGCCTTGCAGCCTAACGCGCACAAGTCAAAAAGCTTAGCATCATCGAACAACTTGAAGATTATTCGATGTATGCTCAATGAGGTTGAGAACGCAAATTTCACGATTGTTATTGGAGAAAGACAATACATTTAGTTTGACATTTTTTTTCACAGATACAGTGTAACATTTTGTATAACTGATGTCCAACTTGGATTTTTTTTTCTTTTTGCTTTTGGGACAGGTGTTTCGACAAATTGGTTTACCTCTGCTTTGTTTGTTGTGTGTATTCGCTTATTTGAAATAGATACTGCGACAACATTTGTCAGCTTCTTTGGTTTGGTCACAGTCAGAAAACACCCGAACCTGCCGGCCCCCCACATTAGTCACCTCTTAAAATACATAGCAGACTACGGCAGGTCTATTCTTTTACAAGAACTATTTAAACAGTGTCAGAAGCCAAGTCATGTTGTTATGACCACGTCAATATTTCTATGACGTAGTCATATTGTTATGACCACGTCAATATTTCTATAACTACGTCATGTTGTTATGACCACGTCAATACTTCTATGACTACGTCATGTTGTTATGACCACGTCAATATTTCTATAACTACGTCTTGTTGTTATGACCACGTCAATATTTCTATAACTACGTCATGTTGTTATGACCACGTCAATATTTCTATGACTACGTCATGTTGTTATGACCACATCAATATTTCTACAACTACGTCATGTTGTAATGACCACGTCAATATTTCTATGACTTAGTCATGTTGTTATGACTACGTCATGTTTCTATGACTACATCATGTTGTTATGATAACATTGCATTGCTGTGACTACGTCATATTGCTATAACTACGTCATGTTAGTATGAACGTGTCATGTTGCTATGACTACGTCATGTTGGTTTTAGTTGTTTTACTAAATACATATTTAAAAACTAATGTTTTTTACACGTGCTGTGCCACGGAGCTACACTTTAACGATTTACTTGGCCTACTATCGTCGCGCCATTATTCCTGCAATATCTCCTCCCAAGTTTCATATAATTGTGTTAGTGATGACAAACCCCTGCCACTGTTATATATGGCTTTGTATAATTAGGTTCCAACTGGAAGATTCAAAGCGTTCTTCCGCTCTATACCACACGAACATGCCGGATACGCGCTCAGAAATATATAATAACATTTAAAATTTTACATCATAGAAACTGCCAATGCCGTGTTCCATTTATAGTGATATGCACGGCTAGGGCTCTGAGGGAAACGGCTTCTCAGCTTTATCGACGTAATAGAAATATCATGAATGTGTTACGGACATAAATGTCCCACGTTGATTTAACAATAATTTCAATGGACAGTAATTTTCCCCTGTTACTCGCGAAAGATGTACTTTTTTCCCTATAAGAAACTATGAATGCCAGTTTCACGATTTTACAATACACTAGTTTAAACAGAATAGCTCAAGGACCACTATGGATAGTGTTTAATAAAATATACAATCAATAAACGTATATCGGGATCTCTAAAGGATGGAAGAAAACCCTATCTTGAATAAAAGTTTTTTAATGTAAAAATAAGGAAGCAAATTGGAAATGTTCAAATAGGCAGTTATATATATTTGGTTATTAACGTTGTGTTCTCTAAGACATACTGAAAGCTTGCTGTGAGATGTAGCTGACGATCTGGTTCATACAGAGTTAATGATTGCTTTGAGATGTAGCTGACGATCTGGTTCATACAGAGTTAAGGATTGCTGTGAGATGTAGCTGACGATCTGGTTCATACAGGGTTAAGGATTGCTTTGAGATGTAGCTGACGATCTGGTTCATACAGGGTTAATAATTGCTGTGAGATGTAGCTGACGATATGGTTCATACAGGGTTAAGAATTGCTGTGAGATGTAGCTGACGATCTGGTTCATGTAGCTGACGATCAGTTTCATACAGGGTTAATAATTGCTGTGAGATGTAGCTGACGATATGGTTCATACAGGGTTAAGAATTGCTGTGAGATGTAGCTGACGATCTGGTTCATGTAGCTGACGATCAGGTTCATACAGGGTTAATAATTGCTGTGAGATGTAGCTGACGATCTGGTTCATGTAGCTGACGATCAGGTTCATACAGGGTTAATAATTGCTGTGAGATGTAGCTGACGATCTGGTTCATACAGGGTTAATAATTGCTGTGAGATGTAGCTGACGATCTGGTTCATACAGGGTTAAGGACTGCTGTGAGATGTAGCTGACGATATGGTTCATACAGGGTTAAGAATTGCTGTGAGATGTAGCTGACGATCTGGTTCATACAGGGTTAAGGAATGCTGTGAGATGTAGCTGACGATCTGGTTCCTACAGCGTTAAGGACTGCTGTGAGATGTAGCTGACGATCTGGTTCATACAGAGTTAAAGATTGCTTTGAGATGTAGCTGACGATCTGGTTCATACAGGGTTAAGGATTGCTGTAAGATGTAGCTGTCGAGCTGGTTCATACAGGGTTAAGGATTGCTGTGAGATGTAGCTGACGATCTGGTTCATACAGGGTTAAAGATTGCTGTGAGATGTAGCTGACGATCTGGTTTATGTAGCTGACGATCTTGTTCATACAGAGTTAAGGATTGCTGTGAGATATAGCTGACGATCTGTTCTCTCAGGTATGTTTGACTGTAGATATATGCACGTGTTCTCTCAGGCATGTTTGACTGTAGATATATGCACGTGTTCTCTCAGGCATGTTTGACTGTAGATATACGCACGTGTTCTCTCAGGCAAGTTTGACTGTAGATACATGTATACACACGTGTTCTCTCAGGCGTGTTTGACTGTATATATACGCATGTGTTCTCTCAGGCATGTTTGGCTGTAGATACATGTATACACACGTGTTCTCTCAGGCATGTTTGGCTGTAGATATATGTATACACACGTGTTCTCTCAGGCATGTTTGACTGTAGATATACGCACGTGTTCTCTCAGGCAAGGTTGACTGTAGATACATGTATACACACGTGTTCTCTTAGTCATGTTTGGCTGTAGATATATGTATACACACGGGTTCTCTTAGGCAAATTTGACTGTAGAGACATATATACACACGTGTTCTCTCAGGCATTTTTGACTGTATATACATGTATACACACGTGTTCTCTCAGGCATGTTTGACTGTAGATATACGCACG